TACGCGTATTAACTCAGCTGCTATCTACCATGAAAACCAATGTTTCCAGAAAGATCATGAACACTTATATTTACCAAAAAACCCATGTACTATATGACAAAAGTGCCGACAAGCAGGTGCATAGTAAAAGCGTAGCACCAATGACAAGGAAATCATCGAGATAAACGATAATGTTCACAAAACCTCTCTTTCCTATCATGTGTTGAACAGCCTGTGTTAGACAATGAAGATTTCAGGAGAGCTTTTAGCACCGAATTGAAGGCGAGTGTCGTAATAATAACTATCAAAATCGTCCACCGAAAACCGCCACTTGCAGCCTTTAGTCTGATAATTTGCGGGGCTGATGGGTATCGACCGGTAAGCATGTTTGAGATGAATTTTAGCCATGAAATAGTTAGGTTTTAGGAGTTTGATAGCGTCATCTAGTGACCAAAATTTGAAATACCGCATGCCAATGTGGTCGAGAGCAATCATAGATAAGCCGTTCCTTGGAATTCGAAGAGTTCGGTTTAAGAATCGTCCCTAACACGTTTACCACCGTAGGTTTCGTGGCCGTAATAACGCAGTTGCCTTCCTGAATTTCGTCGCGAATGTTTTTTTCCACCAAAAATTCAATGGTGGGATTAGTGGCCGATTTATAATTTTGCATATTTACTTCGGTGAATTGCGTATTAGGGTCCGCCAATTGAGAGACGCTAATAATGCCATCTACCAAAAACGCCTCGTCGTAGCCGCCCGCGAGTTCGTGTTGTCCAAACTTTGGGTTAAGCGGTGAATTTCGCCCCTTGAACTGTTAAAGTTGCGGCAAATAGTACGCCCATCACTGGTGAAGGGTACGAGTTGGGGACCAGGGTTAGGTGTGCGATTAAAAGACCTGAAATTAGGGAGGATATGGTAGATAGGTTCTAAAATAATGGAATGGAGGTGATTAGAGTCGAAACTCCACAGATAATTAACTCGTCATCGCACTTGATCACCAAGACCCACTGTTAAAGGTTTGAAAGTTTCATTATCTTGATTGTGTAAGCGACATAGTTTTGCACATCATGTGCCATAGTTAGTTTGTTACTGGATGGAAGATTATAAAAAATCCTAGTATTTCCAACCACCCACTGTGAAATTGAAATCTGCACTAAATGGGGCTTTTTTGGGCCATATGACACTACTAATTTGGTGTTTCTACCGTTCGTTCTTCGTCCTGAGGGACAATGTTGTCTAGAAAGTCAACATTTCTTAAATCTCTCTCACCCTTTTGAAGCTGGGCTGGCCTAAGAAACATCTCCGACGCTCGTCAATCTAGCCAGGCGTTGGATGGTTGACTTGGAGATGCCTGAAGATTGTTTTAAAGTGCCAGGCGGTATGTGGTCAGGTTAAGAGTCCCATCCAATGGAGTTGTTAATGCTTCGCTTGGAGGAAGAGAACTCAGATACTTGACATTCGACGGACCAGCTTGCTCTGGTGGCTCACCCGCGGCCAACTTAGTCCGTTTCTTTTCTATCTGCCTTTAGAGAGAGGCTATACGTTTTTGCTTGGCTTGCCACTGTTCTTCCAGGCCTAGCTCGGCCAACTCCTGTTCAAAGTCTGCAATTTGTTAGTCTTCATCATGGCCGTCAACCGTGACGTTCTGCCTGTCTTTATGCGCGATTGGGGAACTGATCTCCTCTCCTTGATAGAATTTGCTGGGAAATACCCAGCCATGCTCGGTAATCGGGGTTCCACAGCCTGCGCACTTAGCCACCTTCCTCTCCAGTTGTGAATTGTTTGACATAATTAAACGATGAAACTAGAAACTAAAACTTTATCAAGCTAAAAATGTTGCATGTTGCCTTCTTGCTCACTTGATTGCTAATCAAACGTGCACAGATACCTAAGTGGTAATATACTAAAGTAATTTTGCGATTAAAACGCGTCAGCGAGGTGAAAAGCCATTGGCTCCATCTATGCTCAATCATAAGAGAAAGGTTAATGCGCACCCTGCCTGTATCCAGTCCAGACCTTTCAGTTATCGATGTCTAGATTCATATTAACAACTAAATATTTACAACTAAATATTCCGCAATACGAACATTTTACCCGTAAGATTAATAGAGCTTAATCAATCCTTGTGTTTCCGTTGTAGTTTCTGGCGTTCTCTGCCGTTTTAAGCTTGCTTTGCCATTACTGTTCTTCCTGTTTTAAGACGGAGTCCGTTTACCGTCGACTGACCATCGTATACCATTTGTCGTCTATCGTCTGTGTTTGAGTACATGCCAACGGCACCCAGGCATATGACTAGAGCATTTAAGGGCCATGTTTTCAGTCATCGCACCTATTGCAGGATATTTATCATAGAAACTATGGTGTTATACAGGGATTTCTAGCCCTGCGATAAGCCGTAACAACACGCTTGAAAATACGATATTTTTTCACGTCTTTGATGTTGCTGCTGACACGTCACGCGCCTTCCGCACCACTCGGCTAGGTTGATGAATGAACGGCAAAGCTTTTAACACTCTATCCAAGGTCGTTTATCAGTGTTTTTTTCGGATTATGAGAGCTAAAAAACTGAAAATTTCGTACCGCTTTCAGTCCGTGATGTTCAAACTTACTTAGAAAGGGGAGAAAACCAAAATACGAAAAGAAAAACCGAAAGTTACGTAAGCAGTGGCTTTGGTAATGGTATTTCTTGAGGCTGAAAACGAAAATCGACAACTGGATGATTTGCCACAGGCCGATTTGGCCGTGCACCTGAAAGATTTCTTATGTCGGTAAGGAATATTCAATAAATGAGAATTTTGTACATTGAAAATTGTGCCCATTGTTTGCTTTTGTAGTGATTCAACGCATGTTTTTATCTTGAGTGCGCCAGCGTACTTTACGATTTATATTCGGGGATTACCGATCCTTTTATTTCCATTCGTTGAAAAAGTTTTCTTTTCTTGTCATTAAAGGGCTATTGTGTTTACATGATAAACAAAATAATATATGGTTACTTGTAGACATGAAATTTCTCTTCTCGTATTCAAACCGAGATCTCACTAGTGAGCTATCGAGTTAAACACTCGAAGAGACATTCCAGATCTACGCCCGCCCATGAATTATTCTCTGAATACTGGCAGTAATTATGAACAAGTTGCGTTTAAAAATGTGCAAATCCAACTTCAAATCAGGACTAAGATAATTAAAGAGATACAAGCGTTAGAGAATGATCAAATTATTTGTAATAGAAAAACCACAAATGGTTTCCTTTAAAAGTACAATTATACTTCAAACAAAATCACAAACGGACGCCTGGAAAGATTCTTTCAATAACACTTAATTACTTCCATAACATTATCGACACACGACGTTAGTATAGTTGTTAAATAACCACACAATTTCCATGCCTTTATCGGGAGCTTTAGGTCGTTTCAAGTACGTTACTCAGTCTTTCTACGACCTTTCTTTGTTTGATAATTTCTGTCTGGCATTAGATTGAGGCTGTCTATGGCTTGATTTCGGAAATTACACTGTTTAATATTTTACCTACGCGATAGCATTTGGAGTAAAATCATTGTTTTGGAACCTATTTTAAAGTTTCTTTGACTTTCTGATGCTTTACATGTTCCACGTTGGATAATATGTTTAGTTCTTCGGCCATGTAGATTCATTGACCACGCAGTGTCTTTTTTCGAAGGACTCTATCAAGTCCTTCCACATGGAGTGATGTTTAAGTAAGTTCTTGTTACCTTAGAGCAACAGAAATAAAGAAAGCTGACGTGAAAATCAGAAAACCAGAAAGCAGACCTGTTTTTAAGTTGTTTCACTAAAGGGAAGAGAGGATCCACAAAATTTGGAAAAATATAGAAATTGCAAATCTCTTGCAAATGATCGTCCCTAATTCGATTTTTATTAATAGACTATTTTTTTTCAATTCCAACTATACACCTGCTCTATTTTTCACTTGCTTAGAAGCTTAAGCAGTTCACATAATGGAAGAACACAATGAAAGACTGCCGGTAGGTGAGTAATCAGATGCATAATAATGGTAAGATATCAACACAAACATTTCGTGGAGAAAGACAAAATAGATAATGTTGTGATATTCTTTCTTTCTTACCGATAATGCAAAGCCCTTTGCACGCTCTTGTTAGCCCTACGTTCATAAGATGCTCGTCTGCTAAAAATCCCAGATGTTCACGGACCCAATACATTGATGGCTCTGCGTCGAGATCATCATCACTCAGTGAACGCACCAGAGAT